CATAGGTGACCTGAGGCTACCTGCATAGTTTCGGTGGAGTGCCACCTAGTGGACTGGAGATATGAAAAATGGCTCTTTTTGCTTATAACTTCTAAACGCAGTACTCAAAATGTTTCTCCACCTTGTAGTCAAAAGTTATACGAAATTTTCCAAAAATGATTACAACTTTTTAATAAATTAGCTATTATAACTTGTCTTCATAGATTCCTTGGGTCATGCCGGGAACATACCAATTTTCCCATAGTCAGCCAAACTTTCTGTCCGCCATCTTGAAAACCTACTTTTCTGAACTCCTCCTAGACAGTTTGTCTGATTTTCACCAAAATATAAGCATATCATCTTCAGACTGTGCCATCAAAAAGATATGCATCTTGTGTCGATAGACAAAACTGTTTTCGTATACTGCATCAACAAATATGAGGCATGATGCCAACTTTGTTCACACCAAACTTTGTGTGTCATTGTCATCTCACTTTGACCACAACATATCAAATTGGTCACAGCAACACAGGTGGGTACTATTTTTACGTTGCTTAACGAATAGTTCATTCTGAACCCAGATTTGGAAGGATGTACTGTAACTTCATCCTCTACAGTTGAAGACAACACTACAGTAGACAACAACTTGTCTTTCCATAATCATATTTTGTATGTTAAAAAAACAGCCTTTTTCCACCTCAGAAACATTGCTAAGTATCGGAACATGCTGTCTGTTTCCGAAGCAGGAAAGTTATGCATTCATGACCTATAGACTATTACTGTAAATCATTAGTTGTCTTGCATCCTCAATAAACAAGCTACAGTTAGTGCAAAATGCAGTTCTTACTAGAAAATATGAGAACAATGTTAATAGTGAAAAGCGCTATACAAATAAATTTGAATTGAATTGAATATAAAGCTGATGATACACAGGGCAACTTTTTGTGCAATGTTTCTGGGCAATGCTGCCGAACGATTGTTACCTGGGCACTTTCCCATTAAAAATGAGCAATACATTTCTATCTGGATAATTTAGATGGGTCGTGGGGCCTGTGTTTCATTTGGTTGACGGCAACATTGCTCAAAAAAGTTGCCCTGTCTATCGTCACCTTTACTCTTATCTGATCAAATGCATATGATTATCCTTGACGAGCAGCTACGCTAATTATATTCTATCTGCTTCTCTGTTTTATCGAGCCCGTTCTCATCCCAAAGCGCCATATAGGACGCTTTTGCAAAAGCATAAATATCCAACGCACATGGCACCCTTTAACGTGAAATGAGACGCAGATATATTTGGGCAGAAGGCGCCCCCTAGTGGTCTAACCCTTACCCTACACCATACCTAAACTTAACCATAACCGAAGCGTCTCATTAGACGTTAAAGGGTGTTGGATATTTACGCTTTTGCAAAAAAAAGCGTCCTATATGGCACTTTGGGATGAGAACGCGTTGTTTTATCATGGGATGTCCATCTTGAGGTGACTAAAGAGTATATCAGCTCCGGGTTTGGATCAAGCCTCTTCATTCATTACTTTCAAGTATGCATTTCTTCAATGGGCTCATTGTTTCTGCCTTAAATTAATATTTTTTTTTTTTTAAATTACCACATTTTTAGCGAACTGTGATTTTTCATATGTACATTTCTGAAAGACATAACTTGGACAGTTTCCTCTGATAGCAGATCACTCTGAATTGTAATGTGGACTCTTTTGCATTTTGCATTCTTTGTGCATTTTCTGTAAAGCTGCTTGGAAACTACAGTGAAAAGTGTTATATAAATGAATGAAATTGAACATACCGAAAGGGTGTGCACACTTATGCACTCAGTTTATTTGATGCTTTAAGGATGCTTTTCCATCACTGCACCTCATCACCCAATCTTTGAGTCATCCAAGATGTCTACGTCTTCACTGTTACGGAGATTTTCTGTCTCTTCCTCCAGGCTCCACTTACAGTCTCTCTCTCTCTCTCTCTCTGTTCCTCCTGTACTGGGATAGAGGTCAGTATAAGGGTCAATTCAACCGCTTCAGTCAATGCCCCATGGTGGATACTCTCCTCATTCACTCTACTCTTCTTTTTATGGACCTGCCACCCTTACCAAAATAAAGTATACTTCAAGTTTATTTAACTAAGTAAACTTAAGTAACGTTCAAGTATTTTTCCCAAGTATACTGTACATACCAAGTATACTAAGATCATAGTACTAGTAGCATACTTGTGAGTGTACTAATTTAATACTTCTTGGGACTAAATTGGCCCACTTTTTAGTATATAAAAGTATACTTAAAGTGTAAGAGTGGTAAACTTTAAGTTCACAACTAAGTTTTATTTTGTACTGCAGTTATACTACAAGTGAACTTTTATAGATATACTTCTAGTTTACTAGTTATATACTTCTAGCCTGGATTTTTAGTTTATGAAAGTACACTTTTAAGTATACTACTCAGTAAACTACTAGTTTAATAGTTTTTATACTATAAGTGTACTTGTAAGTTTTCTTTCAGTGAACTTAACATCATACTTATAGTTTACTATTTATATATTATTTTTTGCGCTGTGTACTACCCATATGAAAAAAAAACAGCATGGTTCATATAGAGCAACCATATATCTTTCTTACTTAAATTGGCCAGAATTACCTTATGTGTTTCATGCAAGACCAATACATGTCCTATACAAAATCAGACCGATTATGGCCCCTTTCATACTAAATAGCACACATACAACTTATCGGGGATTTTTGTGTCATATATGAATACTGTAAAAGTCTTATATGAGTTGTACAAGACAAAAGTCTGGAATGGTGTATGGTTTTTGATGAAAACATTCCAGGATTTTTCTCCATATAATGGACTTCAATGGGAACCGGATGGTTCAAGGTCCAAAAGACAGTTATAACAGTTTCAGATGCAGCTTCAAATGTCTTTAAACGACACCAGACGATGAATAAGGGTCTTATCATGCGAAACGATCGCTTATTTCAAAACTTATTCCAAAAATGTAACTTTTCTAAGGACAAATGCTAGCCTTGCTCTATTCTGTGAGGCGCGTTTGCAACGTCACGTATTACGTAATTACGTTCAAAAGGTCACGGGCGACGTAGCCGAAAGTACAGAGTCAGTGTTTACAAGTTGAACGCATAGGTTGAACGTGCAAACTAGCTCAAACACCGTTTACAAAAAAAGGAATTAAAAGGAAAAACAACGATGTCGGACGATTTTGACTCTGTACTTCCGGCTACGTCGCCCGTGACCTTTTGAACGTAATTATACGTAATATGTGACGTTGCAAACGAGCCTCACAGAATAGAGCAAGGCTAGCGTTTGTCCTTACAAAGTTACATTTTTGGAATAAGTTTTGAAATAACCGATCGTTTCGCATGATAAGACCCTTATTCATCGTCTGGTGTCGTTTAAAGACATTTGAAGCTGCATCTGAAACTGTTATAACTGTCTTTTGGACCTTGAACCATCCGGTTCCCATTGAAGTCCATTATATGGAGAAAAATCCTGGAATGTTTTCATCAAAAACCTAAATTTCTTTTCGACTGAGGAAAGAAAGACATGGACATCTTGGATGACATGGGGGCGAGTAAATTATCAGCAAAAGTTTTTTCAAAAGTGAACTAATCCTTTAAGAATAGAATTTACTGATTTCCAAGTAAATTAAAGACTTCATTCATCCAAAAATGTTAATTCAGTCATTAATTATTAACCCACATGTTGTTCCAAACCAGAGTTTTGTTCATCTTCGGAACACTTAATGAAGTTATTTTTAATGAAATCTAAGACATTTCTGTCCCTCCATTGACAGCCTATACAACTACTATTTCCAAAGCCCCGGAAAGGAAATCAAAAGTCAAAACCATGTCCTTTGGTAAACTTGAGGAACGCCCATCAAAGTACAAATGTGGGGAGGCGTCGCGACAGTCGTGTCCGCAAAAGTGGATCTCTACCGTCAATCAATGCAAAGACATGTTACGCACAGAAAAAAATCCTGTTGAAAATTTTTAACTTTGCCGTCAATTTCCGCAACGCTAAAAAAAATGAGCCTGCCTGTGACGCACGAATGGATTCAAAGTGTTCAAGCGTATACATGTGAACGCAGCATAATGATGTACCTTTATACCAGTGATCTCAAACTCAATTCCTGGAGCAAAACTGTGCAGACATGTGACATGTGGCTCTCCAAGAATTGAGTTTGAGATCACTGCTTTATACCTTTCTGGGGCTTGAAAGAGGTAGTTGCATAGACCGTCAATGGAGGGCAGGAAGCTCTCAGATTTCATTAAAAATATCTTAATTTGTGTTGTGAAGATGAAAGAAATTCTTGCATGTTTGGAACAACATGAGGGTGAGTAATTAATGACAGAATTTCCATTTTGGGTGAACTAACCCTTTAAGAATAAATTTAGACACCCACCTTAAGAAATCTCCCTAATAGTCAGCCGCCGGAAGAATCTGTGTTCCCTTCTTGTGGCTGTGATGTTGGACAGGTGATAGGCAGATATTTCCCAGTCAGAAGAGTCTAAAATTAAACCGCAAGAAAACATCTACCTGTCAAGTCATGAAAACAATTGGTTTGAAAACTAATTTTAAATAAAAAATAAAAATTACTTTTGTAAAGTTATTTGACTGGACAAAATCAAAATGAGTGTTATGAAACACAGAATATCGTAGTTATACCAAATAGCAACAAAGCTATGATTATTTTGTATGTTTGTGCCCATGATTCTCTAATGTTATCTGTTAAATCTTACCATCACCAAGTTCTAGTCTGTACAGTCTTTAAACACCAAGCCTGGATAACCTTAGCCACTTGGTGCATCATAGAAATGCTCCTAGAAAACACAAATAGCTAAATCAATAACTTACATTTATGAAAGCATAACCACCCAACATCAAAAGTTATTCTGATAAGTACATTTTGCATAAATATTTAATCTGAAAGAATTAGTTACACATTCTAAGAAAATTGGTCCTCCAAAAAAGGAAATAAAATGACAATTTCACATGCATTGTTGGTCTGCAGTCTGTGAGTTGTTCGAGAGTAAAAGATAGTTTGAGGATAAATACTTTTAGTATTTGCACGTCACAAATATTGTCATAAACAATATAAAACACGTTGTTCTGTCGATTTTTGCTGCCTTGTTGAAAAATGCTACCGTAGAGCGAATTGATCACAGAATGCCGATTAAAGTCGTATGAAATACAATTCTAATACAATTTTAAGTTATGAGTAGCTATACTGTATACTGTAGACTACTGTTTTTATTTTTAAAACGGTGTGAAAAGTAAAAATTATCATAAAATATTCATCTTTGACTTGTCAAAGTACACCTTTTCTTATAGTAACTGAAACTTTCAGTTATTCCTTTTCAGCTGGCTGACCGTACAAATATTCATATGGTAGTAAGCATTTTTTAAAGGGAAATTATACATTATAACAGGAAAATGTACCTTTTGTAAAAAAAAAAAAAAAAAAAAAAAAAAAAAAACTGTGAGTCTGCACATGCGCATAACCGGTAAGTAGGAAATCTCGATGGGTAGCATGAATTGTCAGAACACACGTAATGTAATGAGTTAACACACTTAACGTTACTATTTGTTTTTACTGTTAAAAGCACATGTCTGCACTGCGTCACGAGTCAAAGATGCAGGCCTAACTAGTCTGAGAGAAAGGTTTAAGCGCGCACATCACATAAATATTGTTAAAAAAAACTATATAATGCCATGAAATACATATGGGCTCTATGCACGGCGTTATTTCCGGTGAAGCATTAGGGATGCTCGATAACTTCCGCCGATCATAGAGTCCAATGCAATACCGAGAATTTATATTGAATTTTATACTCCATGGTTATAGACGAATCCGGCGAAACTACCGGAAGTAAGCGGGCGCCATTACTGAGCTGTTGCTGGGTAGCTTTGCGCCATTGCCTTCTATTGTTTTAGTTGCAACTTGCGTCCACTGGAATAAACAGCTCGCGATTTACGACTGTCACTAACGTTACAACGTTAGCCCTTGTATAATGTCGAGTGGGTAAACAGTTTCCGTTATAAATTGTTTTAATGGTGGCAGTAAAATTTCAATTTTGAAGAGAAAACATTGTGAATACCCCGGGTCGACTGCCCCCGTCTGGTGCCGTACGGTTTGCACAGATTTCCTGGGCGAGTACAAGACGCGGACATTCGCGTATAATAACAATTATTTAATGACATGAGCAGGGGCGATTCTAGGGTCAGAGCTTTAGGGGTGCTGAGCACCCAGTGACCCCACAGCCACCACCCACATTTTACACCTATATACGCTCTCTCTCTTCATTTTATTTATTTGCTTATTTGTAAGGGGGGCAGTGTACACATTAATCAATATTAGAACAATGAAAATGTACCCGAGTTAGCTAAAAGAGCTAATTTTCATTGGTAGTTTACTAAAGATATTAACAAATTTGTAAAACTATGTTGGGTGGACTCTGTTCCTCTAGGGGGGTTCGGGGGCATGCTCCCCCGCTAGAAAATTTTGTAAATTTTAAGGTTAAATGCATCAATCTCGTGCTCTTTGAGAGATCAAAATTAAGAGCTTCAACCCATGAACTGCTTATTGAACAAAGAAAAAGCATTGATTTGTACCAGGACAATAAACAGGGCTCAAGCATCTTTTTAATTATGAGTCTCAGTCTGCATTACATTATCAATGGTTTTTTAGGATGCCAAACAATTATTATAATAATGTAAAAATGATTTATAATTATTCCTATGATGTAAAATCCATATAGCCTATAAATGTACTATATGTGAAAATGAACATTTCAAAAGTATATTTTAGTCAACATTATACTATAGGAAAATTAAAATACTTTTGTCATATTTCTAAACTTGCAAGAAATAAACCCTTAAGCTTGTATATAGGAGAAAATACCAGATATAACCATGCTTATCGCGTGAGCAAAGTGCACACTTTTCTTTAAATCACCCAGCAAAATTGGATGCCTATTCTTAAAGTCTTGTGCTGTTTTATATAGGCACAAAGCCATATTATGGATTCGATTTTAGTTTGTTGGCAAAATATAACACTAGAGCCCTTTATGTTAGGTTATACATTTTACATCTATATGTGTTGGGAAAAGGGAGAAGAGAGAGTTCTGCAAAAGGCGGAATCGAACTCAGGTCGGGTGCTTTCAAGCACATCACTCACGCACTACGACCTACGCCACTGTACTTACTCTGTGACGTGCATCTATTTACTAGAAAGACAGGCACTTACTGCAAATATACGCTCCGTTATCGAAAATGCAAAAAAAAAAAAACAAAAAAAAAAAACATTTTTTTCTTCCCCCTCGCTTGGGCGCATGGCGAACTTGCAATGTATAGATTTTTTCCGACCGGCCCGCTAGACTAAAACAGTCCGAAAATAAACACTTATAGTTGTACCATGGTGATTCAGGATGCTGACTCCAGTACTCACCGACATGGTTTCGGAATCGGAACAACTGAAAGGAAAAAAAGTGTGAGACACAGCTCTGGAGCGTCTCAGTTGATTCACAAAACTACCTAACGGCCCGGATTCTCATAACTCTGCGTGTGTTTCGCGCTGGATGACGGCCGTGCTGAGCGGTGCAGGTACAAATAAGTAGCATAGAAGAAGAGAAATATTTTCATTTTCATTTCATTTTAAACCACAAACTACTGAGTATGTTTTGGACATTATTTAACCGTGTCAAAGACGAACAAAATTTTTAGAATAACAACATTTCTTGCTCCAAGTTTTAGGGGTGCTGAGCTCCTTTTTAGGGGTGCTGAAGCACCCCTAAAAAGGGGCTAGCCTCGCCCATGGACATGAGTAAAAAAATATAATAAATGTGTGATATAGTGATCAGCAAAATCTCCTCTCTTGTTATTTTTTCTATTCAATTTACATGCTATGGTCATTAAATGGCTTTCCTGAGCTGAATGTAACGTTATGTGACATAATTGTTCTCCTGCTGTTATATTGACCTCTTTCCATGGTTTAAAAACAGTAGTTGGTCGATATTATGTAAGTTATACTTTCTAGCTGTAACGTTACCTTACCCTTGCCCGTTGCAATGTAAAAATGAGATAAATAATGGACACAAATGAAAAACATGTAATTGTTTATTTGATTTCATTTATTTATTTATTTATTGTTGCCAAATGGACAGATATTTTTTTAGTTTCCTCGGTAGCAAACGTTAGCCTAGCTTGCTTGCCAAGCTATTTTCATAAATAATCTGTAAGATCGTTTGTACCTTCATCTGTGACTGGAGGCCGATGTCTAACAACATCAACCCAACAAGTCTGCCTGGCTGTAGCTGTCATCGAGGGTGAGTTCGCGTTATCACCGAGGTTTGTTTACATACCGGTGCATATGTCTATGCCGGTGTAACAGCTCAGTAATGGCGTCGCCACAAGATGGCAGCCTACACAAGAACGCTCGTCGGATTCGTCTATACTAATGAAACATTAGTCACAAAAACAGATAAAACAGACACCCCTCGTTGTGTTTATGCTTCTTTTTAAAATTATATTAAATAAACATAACTATATATAAAATTACATCTAAACGTACGTTTCGTTTCAAAGACGGGAGGAGAGTAAATATTGAAGACTCTGTCATAATCCCGTTTTCTCCGGTTTTCCTCCGCTTTAATCTACACAACCGGAAATGGACGAGCATCCTTACGTCAAATGCGGAACTTATGCGTGCATAAAGCCCATTGTAGATTAGATTAAAAACACTTACTTTCTGTGTTTTTCCTGTTAACGTTACAAGCAAACCTCCCTCGTCGTCAGCTCAGTTTTGAGTCAAAGAAGATAGTCGCCTTAGAGAAAATATTCAGCTCGTTTAAGCGCACAAAGCATTTAAATATCGCTATAAATCAATATATTATAAAATACATATTGTAAATTAGATAAAACACTTACCTTCGCCATTTCCCTGTTAAAAAACAAACAAATCAGCTCTGCATCGGTTTCGGGCGTCGACGGAAGTGCCCCCCTGAGAGCGGTTATAGCCACGCACAGCAAACAATAAGACGTTATACAATGCATAAATAAATGCGATAAAACACTTAATCCATGCGCTTTCCTTTATCGAATGCCTTGCATCGCGAATCAAAGAAAATGGCGTCTGTGTAAAATGTCTCTGCATGTTTCGTCGCGCTCAACAAGTAAATGTCCCGGATGTTATTCATCACCGAGTTTTATTTAAATCATGGGGTGCAGCGATTTAACAAAGTTGCGTCAAACATGTTTCTAGAACAGTGAATAAAATGTTAAAAATTGGCGAGAATATATTTTTGTATATGTGACAAACTCTGGTGGTGATATAAGAATACCTTAAGGAAAGTTTTATGTTTGTACAGGTTAAGAATAGTATTTTATTTTTATTTTTTGTATTCAGAAAAATTTAAAGGGAAATACAAAGACATTTGAAAACCCCAATTCTGATAATTTACTCTGATGAAGATATACATGTCTTTCTTTCTTCAGCCTAAAATAAATTAAGGTTTTTGAGGAAAAAAATTCTAGGATTTTTCTACACAGACTTCAATGGTAACCAAAAATTAAAATTTTCTAAGAAGGTTCAAATGTCCATCTCAATGTAGCTTCAAAGTCTCCACATGATCCCAGTCAAGAAGTAAGGGTCTAGTCTAGCGAAACGACCGATCATTAAAAAAAATAAAAATAATAATAATTAAAAAAATACTAAATAATAATAATATTATACTTTTGAAACTTCTTTGAACATTTGAATAGTTGGTTGCCATTGAAGTCCATTCTGTGTATAAAAAAATTAAGTGATACATGGATATCTTGGATGACATCAGGGTGAGTTTGAAAGTCAACTTAATACTTTAAGATATATGCTGGACATGAATATTAAATTAGCATTATTTTCCTGTTTTTACATAAAGAAAATCTATATGGCTTTTGTGTAGGACATGCAGTGACATGTATGATTAAAATATATATATTAATATGCAATTTATATGGATTTTTCAGCATGTCCTGTAACACCTCTCTTTCTTTCTCTGGTGTTACTCTGAGGAGGTTCAACAGAATTTCGACTGGTACTGAAATAAAACCACTTCACTCAACAAATATAAATTTTTCTATTTTATTTCACACGTGCCTATAATTGCCCCAACAATAAACAATATAAAGAAACCAACAGTCTTTGTCTCTTTGTAAATCAAACCACCATATAGACAACTTATCGTCAGTGTCCAGCCTTTGGAGGAGTTGAAATGAGGATGGTGAATGGATGAGTATGACCCAGTGGATTTTTGAGATCGACGCAATGATATTATCCAATTATCCAGTATGAGTAAGAGGTGAAGATTGAAAAGTTGGTGCCTTTGCTACAACGTACTGAAATCCAGCTTCCAACATCTCTTTTCCAGTAGACATGAAATAGATCAGCCAAACGATGCAAAACAACAAGAGTGGGTTGACACTATGGTGATAAGTGTCTAATCATAACAAGTCCTTTCTACAAAAGAAAACAAAACAGCTAACATCAGACCTTTTTCCATTACAATTACATCCAGAGATTTGCAGTTATTATATACTCACATTTGAGCATAAACTCATTGAGTTCTCAAACCAGGACTTCAAATGGGTAAAGCAGGTAGCCAACAAGAAGAACCATGCGGTTTCCCTCTACCAAACTGAACTGACTTCTTCAATGGTTATCAGGCTTATATCTAGTAGCCACCACTCACTAGTGCCCTCACATGGCAATTAGAGGTACTACTTGACCCAGGAAACTTTCCTGATAAGTCAGAAAGTACAGACTAAAAACTCATGTAACATTTAAACCGTTACATACCCCTCCCCAAGGTCTAAAAATTTGACCCATGGAAAATTTTTAAATTCTGGGTATGATAAGTGTCTACCTGAACAGGTTCCGTCAACATGGCTACCTTGTAGTTTACAGGACCTAGCTTTTTCATAATCTTAGCTGGACCTTTCCATTTAGGTGAGATCTTAGCCATGAAAGCATCATCTGCACTAGAAAGAGGATGCGTCCGCACCCATACTAAATCCCCTTCATTGAAATTTTGAGCTCTTGTCTTGAGGTTGTAGTACTTTTTTTGTTTAGTTTGTGCCTTCTCTACATTCTCTCTTACGGAGTCATACAGAATCTTTTGACGTTCCAGTATGCTATAAGCTGGTTGGTCTGGATCTGGTGGATTCTGTAAGGCTCTCTGCAGAGGACCTTTCAGTTGTCGTCCTAGGGCTACCTCAGCTGGTGAATACCCTGTACTCTCATGCCATGCGGTATTTAGCGCAAATCTGAACTCGCATAACCACTGATCCCAGGTACGGTGGTTTTGTTCGACGTACATGGCAATCATAGTTTTCAAATTCCGGTTGACTCGCTCAGTGAGATTTGACTGAGGATGGTATGCAGTGGTGAGTTTTTGTGATACTTGCCACTGCTTACATAATTGAGCCAAGAGGTTTGAGGTGAATTGTGCACCTCTATCGGACACGATGAAAGCTGGTGTTCCCCATCTTGTGAAAATCTCCTCTATCAGAATTCGCACAATTGTTGTAGACTTAGCAGCTCTCATTGGGAAAACCTCTACCCATTTAGTAAAATAGTCTACTATAACAAGGAGGTAACTATTCTGGCGGGTGCTTCGTGGGAATGGTCCCATGATGTCCATGCCAAGCATATATCCCGGCTCAACAATGGGCACACTTTGTAGTCCGCCTGCAGGTTTTAAGTTAGTGGGCTTATGCTGTTGACATTTCTCACACTTTTTGCAGTGCTGCCATACGTCAGTTCGGACTGATGGCCAGTAAGCAAATTCCAAAAGACGCATCAGAGTTTTAAATTTACCCAAGTGACCACTCAGAGGACTGTCATGTGCATAAGTTAACATTACTTCCTTCAACTTTGCGGGGACTACAATTTGCAATCTTTGGCCTTCTTTAGAGTCTGGAACACTCCTAAATAAAATCTCATTTTTACGGAGGTAGTGCGTTCTCTTAAGATCTGTGGTTTTCTGGCTCTTGGCTTTATCCATGATGTCTTTGTACTCTGGGTCTTTTTTCTGTTCATCGGCAATTTGAGACAAGTCCAACGGCAGATCCCAAGAGACAGAAGTAAAACCTCGCTTAGCTGGTGTGTGTAACAACACAGCCGGGGATTCAGCTGCATCTCTCCTAGATAAGGCATCAGGCACTACATTACATTGTCCTCTCCGATACCGTACAGTAAAGTGATACCCTTGCAATCTGATCGTCCATCTTTCCAGTCTGGATGAGGGTTTTGGATGTTGGAACAGCCAAACTAAGGATGCATGATCAGTGATCACCTCAAAAGCTCTGCCTTCTAGGTAATGGTGCCACTTCTCTACAGCCCACACTACTGCTAAACATTCCTTTTCTGATGCAGAATAGGACTTCTCTGCACCTCTGAGCAAACGGGATGCATATGCGATTACTCTCTCTTGACCATCCACCTCTTGTGTCAAGACAGCTCCTAAGCCTACATCACTTGCATCGGTCTGTACTTTAAAAGAAGAATCAAAGTTAGGAGTACATAAAACAGGTGCTCTAGTGAGTTCATCTTTGATGAGGTCAAATGAACGCTGACAGTCGTCTGTCCACTTCCACCTCACTTCTTTCTTCTTCAACGCATGCAAGGGCGCGGTTTTAGTGGAGAAGTCAGAAATAAACCGATGATACCAAGCCGCCAGGCCTAGAAATCGTTGTAACTGTTTTAAAGACTTGGGAGTTGGGAATGTTCTGATCGCATCCACTTTGTCCGAGTTCACCTTGACTCCATCCACTGTGATGGTATGACCTAAATAGTCAAGTGATGAACATATGAACCTACATTTCTTGAGGTTAAGCGTGAGACCGGCCTTGTGCAGACTATGAAACACTTGTTTGAGATGGTGCAGGTGTGTTTGGATATCTGGTGAGTATACAATAATGTCATCGATATAGACCATGCAACATTTGTTCTTGTGCTCTCTGAGAACTTGCTCCATCAGCCGTTGGAAAGATGCTGCGGCGTTTTTAAGGCCAAAGGGAAGACACAAGAATTCATATAGCCCTGAAGCAGTAATGAAAGCAGTCTTTTCCACACTTGCAGAATCCATTTCAACTTGCCAGTATCCGCTCTTTAGGTCCAGCGTGCTGAATACTTTGGCTCCTTGGAGAGAATCTAGAATATCCGTGATTTGAGGCATCGGATAAGCGTCGAGGTGAGTTTTTGCATTAAGGCCACGGTAATCAACGCAAAACCGGGATCCTCCATCTTTCTTATCTACGACCACCACAGGTGAAGCCCACGGAGACGTGGAAGGTCTGATGATTTTTAGTTGAAGCAACTCCTTAATCTGTTCTTCAATAAAATCATTCTTAGTTCTTGAAACTCTGTAAGGTCTCTTCCTTAACGGGAGTTCATCAACTGTTTTAATCTCATGCTTAATGAAGTTCGTACGACCTAGCTTACGGGTACATACTGAAGGCCAATCACACATGACAGCTTTCAATTGATCCTTTACCTCATTTGAGGCATGTGAGTATTCCACTGCTTGATCAAACAGCTTCAACATCTCTTCATTTTGCACCATTCCATTATCTCCTTGTGCAGCATAGAACTGAACAGCAGCATGCTCGGGCATTTTATTAAAACACATAGGATGACCAGAGTTAACGTCAGGCATGAATATACGTGAAGCATTAAAATCAATAGTTAGCTTGGCTTCTTTGAGGAAATCCAATCCCAAGATGACAGGAACGGCCAAGCTTTCATCGTTCATCACATAAAACGTGACTTCATGTTTTACTCCGTA